GGAATTTCGCCATAAACAAGTCTGGGTGAGAATTTTCGGGTCTTGCAAGGGGCCAATAAGCCAATTTTGCTGCAAAGACCGAACCGGCTGTTTAAAAAAAGCAAATCAAGGTCACGCGCGCCCAAAAGGAGGGGCAGAATGAGGGTGGATCTACGTAGGTCCAATCAAAACCCAGCCAAGCGCTCGCGCATGAATACATGTCAGTGCATCGACCGGGCTGAGACGAGTCATGACCCGGTGAACTTTCCCGGCACTTCGCTGGTCGTCGTAGCTAGGCGAACATGGAGCCTTCATCGAGGACAAACGTTTGTGTGCGTGCGTGCATGTGTGCGCACAGTAAGGTTGTACTTTACTGTGCGTGCGGGCGCATGCGAGTTGTCGACAAGTTGCCAAGGCCAGGGCAAAGCAACTGCTAGAATCAGAATATCGCACACGCTGGGGGCGGGCGGGCGTGCGTGCGCGAGAAACCCACAGTGGAGAAATGTGGAAAATTTGACCTTCAGTCACTCACTTTGGCTCCATCGCTGACTTTTGGCACTGAGGGAAAAACAATGGCTTTGGCGTGTAGGATGGTATTCTGATGCAGGATGTCAGCCTGTGACATGTTGTGTCCAAACGGCTACAAACACAAGAAGAACGGCTGGTGAGCGCAGACGAAAAAAACACAGTTAATTACTGCAAAGTAGTTTGGCGTACAGGAGTGGGTCTATGGTTAGATGATTCCTGGATTACATAGGAATAAATGCTGCACAGCAACTTCTATGGCCGGATTAAAAAATAAATAAAACGGCATCGAAGGAATGGATACAGGAAGTGTCTACACTGAATGGGGTAGGTGAGTCAACACACGAAAGTTCGAAGATAAAACTTTACACTGACCAAGGCCTGACCCCACAGAAATCTATTATGATTTCCAGAAGGTGCTTTGACAAACAAGCCCGCGTACACGAAATCCCAATAGGATTAAACAAGACACTTGGAATCGACTAGATAATCGGAGGGAATTAGTAAAGCAGTCAGGTTCTCATAGTTTGAGGGTGATGCAGAACGCGAAGGAGTATGTAGGGGTTGAATACCTGAGAGGGGGCAACACTGAATTCTTAGGAGGTTTGGCAGATTTGCTTAATTTGAGTTGACCCAATTGTGAAAAAAGTAGGAGGTTTGGCAGATTTGCTTAATTTGAGTTGACCCAATTGTGAAAAAAAAACTCGAGGCGTTCGGCGGGATTTGAACCCGCGTATTAGAGAAGGCCTTTAGCTGGAGCCAACACGCTAACCGCTAAGCTACAAACGCCCCATCTCGAGCCATGAATTTAATCACAGGTGGGTCGATATTACCCACCCGATGGAATCCACCAATACGGGACAGCAAGTTGACTGCCCAAGCAGGACTTCCTTAGCAATCATCTAGAATCCACCAGAATGACCACTAGGCTGACTTAATTATTAGGAGGTTTGGCAGATTTGCTTAATTTGAGTAGACCCAATTGTGAATTCCTCAAATTTACATTTAGGTAGTCCTGGCAGCTCTAGGGTCCGTGTGAAAGCACCCTGCGCACAGAATTAGTTTGCATGATCGGATTGTGGTCATCCACTCCCGAGGCACCTGCGAGCTACAACTACAAACACATTTCTCGCTGACTTCCATCTGTTATAACTGGAGGCAGCAACTTTAAGCTTCCATGTTAAAATCTGAACAAAGAATTGCAAAATCCTATTCGAGAGACGGCTTTAGGTGTTCACTGAAGGATTT